ATAGCAGTGAAACACTATCTAATAGTGCCAGAAGATGAGCACCTCAAGTTGGAAGGCACTTAAAATACAACTGGGGAAGAGCTACCTCCTCAAAGTAGAGTTGATCTTGATGACATGGATGGAATAAAGCTTTTGGGACCTTCTTTTGCAAATGGGCCCTGACTCAAAATGAGAAGAAACAGCTAAAAATATTCATTAATAATCACAACCCAGAATGTATGAAATATGAATCTAGGAAAATTGGAAATGGTCAAAAATGAAATGGAATGGATAAAGATTGGTATCTTGGGTGGTAGTGATCTGAAATGGACTGGTATCGGCCATTTTGAATGGGACAATCATATAATCTACTATGTCAGGAATGACAAGTTGAAGAGGTGTGGTATTGCATTAATCGTCAAAAAGAATGTTTCAAGACCTATCCTGAAGCACAATGCTGTCAGTGATAGGATAATATCCATATGCCTACAAGGAAGACCAATTAATACTACTATTATTCAAATTTACCAACTACTAAGGCAAAGGATGAAGAAATTGAAGAGTTTTACTATCTTCTATAGTCTGAAATTGACCAAACATGCAATTAAGATGTTTTGATTATTACTGATGATTGGAATGACAACATTCAAAACAAAGAAGAATCATCAATAGTTAGCAACTATGGCCTTGGTAAGAGAAATGATGCCAGAGATCACATGATAGAATTTTGCAAGACCAATGACTTATTCATTGCAAATACCCTTTTTCAAAAACATAAGCAGCAGCTATAAACAAATGCATAAACAAATCTGTCATGGAGGAAGTGCAGCCGGAATGCTCCTTAGAAGCGAGAATGGCTAGACTTTGTCTCACCTACTTTGGTCATATTGTCAGAAGGGACCATTCTCTAGAGAAGGATATCATGCTTGGTAGAGTGGAAGGTCAATGAAAAAGAGGAAGGTCCTTAATAAGGTGGAGTGACACTGTGGCTGCAACAATGGGCTCAGGTATAGCAAGGTTGTGAGACTGGCACAGGACTGGGAAGTCTTTTGTTCAGCTGTACATAGGGTCACTATGAGTCTGAGATAACTTGATAGCACTTAACAACAACAACAACAAACAGCAGCTATACATGTGGATCTCACCAGATGGAATATACAGGAATTAAACTGACTACATCTGTGGAAAGAAGTAATAAAGAAGCTCAATGTCATCAGTCAAACAAGGCCAGGAGGTGACTATTAATTGCCTATATGCAAGTTCAGGTTGAAGCTGAAGAAAATTAGAACAAGTCCATGAGAGCTAAAACACAACCTTGATTATAATCCACCTGAATTTAGAAATCATCTTAAAAACAGATTTGATGCAATGAACACCAATGACTGAAGACCAGATGAGTTGTGGGATGGCATCAATAACATCATACATGAAGAAAGCAAAAGGTTATTAAAAAGACAGGAAGAGAAGAAAAGACCAAAATGAATGTCAGAAGAGACTCTGAAACTTGCTCTTGAATGGAGAGTAGCTAAAGCAAATGGAAGAAATGATGAAATAAAAGAGCTGAACAGAAGATTTCAAAGGGCAGTTCAAGGAGACAAAGTGAAGTAATCTAATGAATTGTGCAAAGACCTGGAGTTAAAAAACCAAAAGAGAAAACATGCTCAGCATTTCTCAAGCTGAATAAAATGAAGGAAAAATTCTAGCCTCAAGTTGCAAGTTGAGGATTCTTTTGGCAAAATATTGAAGAAAATGGAAGCATCAAAAGAAGATGGAAGGAATACACAGTCACTGTAGCAAAAAGAACAACACTGAGCTGGTTCAGGAGGTAATATATGATAAAAAACCAATGGTACTGAAAAAGAAATCTAAGCTGCACTGAGAGAAGTAGTGAAAAACAAGGCTCCAGGAACTGATAGAATACCCAGTGAGATGTTTCAATAAATGGATGCAGTGTCAGAGGTGCTTACTGGTTTATGCTAAGAAATTTGGAAGAGAGTTAACTGGCCAGCCAACTAGAAGAAATTGATATCTGTGCCATTCCAAAGAAAAGTGATGCAACAGAATGTGGAAATTATTGAACAATATCATTAATATACCAATGGTACTGAAGGAAGAAGTCGAAGCAGCACTGAAGGAAGTGGTGAAAAACAAGGCTCCAGGAGTTGACAGGATACCCATTGAGATATTTCAACAAAGGGATGCAATGCTGGAGGCACTCACTCAGCTATGCCAGGAGATTTGGAAGACAGCTACCTGGCCAACTGATGGAAAAAAAAAAATCCATATTTATACCCATTTCAGAGAAATGTGTAAATTATCAAACAATATCATTAATATCTCATGCAAGTAAAATCTTACTGAAGATAATTCAAAAATGGTTGCAGCAGTATATTGACAGAGAACTTCCAGAGGTGCAGGCTGGATTCAGAAGAGGATGTGGAGTGAAGGATATCATTGCTGATGTCAGATGGATCTTGACTCAAAGTAAAGAATACTAGAAAGATGTTTACTTGTGTTTTATTGACTATGCAAAAGCATTAGATTTTGTGGATCCTAACAAATTATGGATAACATTGAGAAGAATGGGAATTCCTGAACACTTAACTGTGCTTATGAAGAACCTGTACATAGACCAGGTTCAAACAGAACAAGGGGATATTGCATGGTTTAAAATCAAGAAGAGAGTGTGTCAGGGTTGTATCCTTTTACCATTCTTATTCAATCTGTAGGCTGAGCAAATAACCTGAGAAGCTGGACTATATGAAGAAGAATGTGGCATCAGGATTGAAGGAAGGTTAATTAACAACCTACTATGACACAACTTTGCTTACTGAGAGTGAGGATGACTTGAGACACTTACTGATGAAGATTGAAGAATACAGTCTGCAGTATGGATTACATCTCAATATAAAGATAACAAAAATCTCCACAACTGAACCTAGAAGCAGCATCATGATACATGGAGAAAAGATTGAAGTTGTCAAAAACTTCATATTACTTGGTTCTGCAATCAACACCAATGGAAGCAACAGTCAAGATCTTGGATGACATATAGCACTGGGAAAATCTGCTGTAAAAGACCTGTTTCAAGTGCTGAAGAGCAAAGATGTCTCCCTGAGGAAGATGGTGCCCCTGACACAAGCCATGGTATTTTCAATCGCCTCATATTCATGTAAGAGCTGGGCAATGAATAAGGAAGATGGAAGAAAAGTCAATACTTTTGAGTTGTGGTGCTGGTGAAGAATGCTTGAAGTACAATGGACTGCTAAAAGACCTAACAAATCTGTCCTGAAAGAACTGCAGCTGTAATGCTCCTTGGTAGTGAGAACGGCCAGACTTTGTCTCACCTACTTTGGTCATGTTGTAAGAAGAGACCACTCCCTGGAGAAGGATATCATGCTTGGTAAAGTGGAGAGTCAATGAAAGAGGGGAAGGCCCTCAACAAGATGGACTGACATAGTGGCTACAACAATGGGCTCAGGTATAGCAGGAATTGTGGAGCTGGCACAGGACCGAGCAGTGTTTTGTTCTGCTGTCACTATGATTTGCAAACAACTTGATGGCACCTAACAACAACAATAAAAATCATTAATATCATATGCAAGTAAAATTTTGCTGAAGATAATTTAAAAACAGTTGCATCAATATATTGACAAGGAACTTCCAGAAATTCAAACTGGGTTCACAAGTGGATGTGGAACTAGAGATGTCATTGCTGATGTCAGAAGGATATTGGCTGAAAGCAAGGTATATCAGAAAGATGTGTTTACCTGTGTTTTATTGACTATGCAAAGACATTTGACTCTGTGAATAATAACAACTTATGGATAACATTGAGGAGAGTGGGAATTCCAGACACTTAATTGTGCTCTTGAGTCATCTGTATATAGATAGAATAAGAGGCTGTTGTTCGAATAGAACAAGGGGATACTGCATAGTTTAAACTCAGGAAGACTGTGCATCAGGGTTGTATTCTTTCACTATACTTATTCAATCTGTATGCTGAGCAAATGATCTGGGAACCTGGACAATACAAAGAAGAATATGATATCAGATTGGAGAAAGACTCATTAAGAACCTGTGATGTGCAGATATCACAACCTGCTTGCTGAAAATGAAGATGACTTGAAGAATTTACTGATGAAGATCAAGGACTACAGTCTTCAATATGGATTACACCACAACATAAAGAAAAAAATTCTCATAACTGGACCAATAAGCAACATCACAATAAATGGTGAAGAGATTGAAGTTGTCTGTGAATTCATTTTAGTTAGATCTGCAATCAACACCCATGGAAGCAGCAGTCAAGAAATCAGATGTCATATTGCACCGGACAAATCTACTGCAAAAGACCTCTTTAAAGTGTTAAGGAGCAAAGATGTCACTTTGAAGACTAAGGTGCACTTAATTGTCTCATATGCATATGAAAGCTGTACAATGAATGAAGAGTGAAGAATTGTTGATGCCTTTGAATTGTGGTGTTGGAGAAGAATAATTAAATACCATGGACTGCCAGAAGAATAAACCAATCAGTCCTGGAAGAAGTACAGCCAGAATGCTCCTTAAAAGTGAGAATGGCCAGACTTCATCTTACCTGTTTTGATCATGCTGTCAGAAGGGACCAATCCCTGGAGAAGGATATCTTGCTTAGTAAAGTAGAGCATTAGCAAAAAAGGGGAAGATTCTCAACAAGATGAATTGACAAAGTGGCTGCACCAACATGTTTGAGCACAGCAAGGATTGTGAAGATGGTGCGTGACTGGGCAGTGTTTTGTTCTTTTGTACATAGGGTTGCTATGAGTAAGCGCCAACTCGATGTCACCTGTTTAGCCAGATTGCAGATCTTTCAGGCCTAGTTGCTTTTCCTAAACATCTGATCTCATATCATCTGCACTATAAGTGTCTATCAACTAGCAGAGCATTGAGGGAAGGATTATTTTTGCAAATTTTCTCATGCTACTGTTATATCTATGTGAATCTTAGATATAGGGCAAAATATCCACATTCAGTATACACACCTGGAATGATGCAAAACTTAGTATTTCAAAACCGCATCCAAATAAAGATAATATTACAGGGAGTGGAATAGGAAAATCTTTCAAGTGCATGTTCAAAAATGCTGCAAAAAAATTTGTCGTTACTGAAAGGCAATGAAAAATCACATTTATAGAACTTTTATATGATATGATTCCTTAATACTGATGACTGTGAGATCCTGTTCCACTACTCACTTATCATCATCTTGTGATTGATACCCTTCTTCATATTTCAGCATATAGCATTGCTGTAACTGTTAATCCACCAGGTTTCTGTCATCTCCTCTATGATATATCTAATCTCCTTAGATTTTTAAACTAAATATTCCTAACAATAACTGGCTCTTGGGTTACTCTACTGAAATATTTGTACAAACTATAAATCAAGGATTAGTTTCTTTAGCAACTTTGTAATGAGAGGCTAACAGATAAATTTAATAATGCTTCTTGGCTATTTCCCATGACAATAAGGAACTAGCTATAATAATTTGCCCAATGAGGAAAAATAGTTATCTATTACAGACTAGAAAGCCCATAAAGACTATTTAGCTAATATTTTACATTGCTATCATAATACAATAAGCAATAGCATAGCATTTCCTTCCATTTAAATTTTTCTGCTTTTAGTGATACAATCTTCAATAAGGTCAAAGAAAGGACAAAAGAGTGCATGATTTCTTTTCTTTTCTTCTTGTAAGAACTAGGTAAATTTATCATATGGACAAAAATCTCTGTGACATTCAATCCAGGTAGGTTAAAAAGTAACCCAACTACCCAAAAGACACATCACTTTGAAAATTCTTTGACCAAGTGAAAAAAAAAAAAAAAAAAAGATGTGAGATATCTACCTTAAAAATATGAATCAAACTATAGTTGTCAATAACTGATATAACAATGAAACTCCCAACACCTTGATTTTCTGCTTATCTGCTATAGTTGTCCCCATCATTTAAATCTAATTGTGACTTACCAAATAAGGTGTGACTAGTCTGAACTCTGGTGATACAATGCCTAAGGCCTTTGACTCATAACCAGAAGGCTGGTAGATCAAACCCACCAGCCACTACTTGGAAGGAAGATTGAGCAATCTACTTCCATAGTGATATCGCCTGGGAAACCCAAGGAGGGGTTGGTATGAGTGGGATCCAACTTGAAGGCAATGAGTTTTAAACTTTGAACTCAGTGGAGAAAAAGAGCATATAAATTAGATTCTATTGTTTCTTCTCAGTGGCAGATTATTATCGAGTTAATCTGATTGTAAATCATGGGGCAAAGGTGTGAATTCAGGAAAAAAATATGATTTCCTATTGTTGTTAATTCCTATAATTGTATTCAGTGGCATTTCCATGATATAGATCTTTAAAAAAAAAAAAAAAAAAAAAAAACTCAAATGAAAAGAGAGTTACACTTACCTCCAATTGTACAGATCAAAGACAATATTAGAATAATTTTAGGAAGACCTGGAGGATTAATAAATTTCCATTTCCTGAGAGGGTGCAACCACATCTTAGTAAGTGTTTTGCTCTTCCTGGTGGTATTAGAAACGACATCATCTACGTCCATCGTGTTATTTCTTACAATCAGTCTTGAATCTGCCTTATAATTGTCTGTAAAAACTCAGATAGGATTAAAGGGACATAATATTTGTCTTCTGATTGCCTTCTAATACTTTTCTTTTTAGAAAAGATTAGCAGCATAGATTTCCCCTTTATTTCTAATAGTAGTTTAGGACCTTTTAAAATTAGGGATAAGTCCCCCTTCAGCATAGGCACAAATAGTTGAGCAATGGGCTACTAACTGAAAGGCTGGCAATTCAAACACACCCAGAGATTCCTTAGAAACAATCAGCTTCTGAAAGGTCACAGTCATGAAAACTCTATGGAACACAGTTCTATTCTGGAACACATGGGATCGCCATGAATTGGAATTGATTCAAGGGCAATGGATTTATTTCCCATTCCATGATGCTTTCAATTTAAAAGAAATGGAAAAGGCACAACTTCAAGTGGCACAGATTACTCAGTGTCACCTTGTGTTCTCTTACAAAGTAAATAACTGCTCAGCTATTATCCACCTTGCATCTATCCAACTATCTGGAAGAAGAGTTCTTTATCTAACCGGTCACCAGCCATTGGGACCACAAACTGTGCATATCACTTAACTCTATAGATGGACAAATAGTTGGTTTACCCTCACTTAACTGAGCCTCTGGAAGTATGTTCTGGCGGCTGGTCCAAAATAAGGAGGAATAGCATGATCTTTTTTGTTGATTATCCAGATAGAAATTAATTGACCACAATGATATTCAATCATAGCTTTCTTTTACCTCATTTTGGGGCACTCACTGCCAAGTTTTTTTCATTTACATATTCATACAACAAGAGCATAAGAATATTAAAACCAAAATGACTTAAACATTGGAGGTGTTAAATGTTCTCTCATTATTACTTCTTGGAAAAGGGCCTTGGTGTGCCTTGGTTTGAAGTAATAGATAATAGCCCCAGATGGTAAATTTCACCTGGTTCCCACGTGTCGTAGTTATGTAAAACTGTTGTAATAGAAATAGCACAAGTGTGTGGCTTTAAAGAATAGAAATTTATTTTTTCAGTTAAGAGGCTAGAAGTCCAAATTCAGGGTGCCAACTCTAGGGAAATACTTCCTCTCTCTATTGGCTCTGGGGGAAGGTCCTTGTTTATTTTCTGCTTTTGGTCATCTGTTCCTTGGCCATCTTCATGTGGCATGACATCTATCCTCCACTTTCTCTTCTTGCTTACTTAATCTGTTCTTTTATATCTCAAAAGACATTAATTTAAGGTACAACCTACATTAATACAGCCTCATTAATATAACAAAGAAAATCCATTCCCAAATGTTATTATTAAGAGTTAGGATTTACAACACTTATTTTTTGGGGATACAATTCAATCCATAATACCATGAAAAGAAAAAATTTGTATCAATGTCTTAAACTTGATACACAGGATTTTATAGATTCTGTTTCTCATTGCAATGGCTGAGTACTTTCTAGTTACCACTATTGGCATCTCATCTATGTGCCTGGCAACCATTTAGTCATTATTAAATTTCCTTTCATAATCCAGGAATATCTTTGTTCAGTTTCTAATATATAGACTTCTGTATTTTTGTATACTCTTTTCTTATCATACAAACAAAATTGTGAAAGAGAAAAATGAAATAAATGCTTACTATGAACACTTTTGAAATAAATATATAAATAATCATTTCAAAAGCACAAAAAATGTTACCCTCACTCACCCTTACATAGTTATATTTCATTCTGTTTTCCACTTGATATTACTGTATATTGCCAGTATTAAAAAGTCATTTATAATGGATGAAACATGTTAGCTGCAAAGTAAAAGTGCAGACCCTGTGGTCTGGACATAAAGGTCCAATAAGCTGATTCTTGTAGATTGAAAGATTTCTGGGCAACTTACTTCAACTCTGTTGGCCTCAGTTTCACAATCTGTATAATTTTCTAGCCTGTGTCATCTCTCTCCTGATAGTTATTCTTTTTATCTGGAATCACTTGGGGGCAATGAAAATTCCAATGCTTGGGTCTCATCCCCTGAGATTCTGGTTAATTCAGTCTGAAGTGCAGGCTGGGCTTCCCAGGTAAATTTAACCTGTAGCCATAGTTAGAAACCTCTGTGATCTACCCAATTTAAAGGCAACATGGCTAACTTTGTAGTCTCAAAGCCAACTTCTTTTCTCTAGGTCATGTTTTACGAGAAAAGGGTGTCAATGCCCTTCAGCCAAAGGCTACTACAAGGAACATATCTGTAGTTCACAAGTTGGGTTTACTATTTGTTGCATTGAGAAAAACCACTCACCAGGAAGAACCATGAGTGTCTCAATAAGGGAGTTCTAGAAAGAACCTATTGTATGATCTCACTTTGGCTGGGAAATTTTGCAGAGGGACAAAGAAAGTGGAAGTTCACTCTAGATTGCATACTGTCAGAAAACAAAACAAATCTATGACTGTGCATCTTTATAAATCTTATCTATAATGAGGGTCAATTAGATTGATGATAAAGCTATAGTGAGTAAAGAAACAGCAATCACTCATTTTGGTCTAGAGGACGGGCATGTGTTATCTTATGGATTGCATGATAACCTTGTTTTCTGTCTCACTTTATCATGATCTGAAAGTGACTTTGTCTGATGTTGATTGCTATGGATTCAATTGTGTCCCCCCAAATGTTTGTTGATATCCTAACCCCTGTACCAGTAAATATTTTGTTTGGAAATAGAGGGTTTTCATTTATTGTGGTTGAGGTCATACCAATGTAGGTGGGGATAATAAACCTAATCACTTGAGTTACAAAAGGATCAGAATACACACAGAGACATACAGGGGGAAGAGAAAACAGACAATGAATACAGATACAGCTAAAAACCCAGGAAAGTCAAGGATTTCTATAAAGATTTCCATAAAGATTGTTGTTACTGTTGTGTGTGTTCTCCAGTTATTTCTGACTCATAGCAACCCTATATGAGAGCAGAACTGCCCAGTCCATAAAGATTACAGCCAACAAATCCCTATGGAGCAGTTCTACTCTCTGCTACATGGGGTCACCATGAGTCGGAATTGACTTGACAGCAACAGGTATAGGTACTAGAAACTGATATGGACATGGAAGATCTTATCCCAGAGGTAGATTCTGAACTGAGACTTCTAGTCTTCTGAACTGTGAGAAAATACATATCCATTATTAAAAGTCACCCACTTGTGCTATTTTTATTATGGCAAGACAAGTTAACTAAGACATTGATCTTCTGTTTTATTGTTTATGATTAATAGAAGAACGGCATGGCCTAGCTTTGAGCATTTTACCGGCTGTGTTAACACAGAATGTGACCTGGCTATGAGTGTCACACCAGTTCCTTATGTCAGGGGATGCTTTGCTTTCCCCATCAAGATGGTGAGTTCCTTAACCTTCCCTTAATATATCAAGGACTAGGTTTTTTTTGTTGCTGTTGTTGTTGTTTAATTTTTATTGTGATTTGGGTGTAAGTTTACAGAGCAAATTCTCTTTCCATACAGCAGCTCACATACACTTTGTCTCATGACATTGACTGGAATTTCCCACAATGTAACAGCTCTGCTCCCACTTCCTCCCCATAGTGACCTCTTTCCTGTGTCCTTCCCTCCCATGCACTCCTGCCCCCCCCCCAGCTGTCTTCCTGTCCATACACATTCCTTCTATTCTCCCATAATTGATCTCTCCAAGGAAGGTATCTACCTAATGTAAATATTCAGCTCACATGCCTGTCTTTTGTTTGACTGGAAGCCATGGGAGTAGGTTCAATTCCAGACCTGAAGGGCAGCTAGGGGCCATAATCTCAGTGGTTCCATCAGGCTTATCAGACCAGCAAACCTGGTCCTTTTTTTTTTTAATGATTTTGAGTTTTGTTCCACATTGTTCTCCCACTCTGTCCAGGATCTCCTACATAGAGCCCCTTCTGAGTGGTTGACAGTGGTAGCAGGACACCTCTGGTTCTTCTGGTCTCATAGTCATATAGGCTGAGGACAGTATGGTCTACCAGTCCCTTGGACTAATTGTTTCCATGCATCTTTGGTTTTCTTCATTCTTCTTTGCTCTGGACGTGAGAGACCCGTTGCTGCATCTAGAAAGCCGCTTGCAAGGTTTTAAGATCCCAGTCGCTACTCACCAAAGCAGGATGTGGAACAATGTTTTTGTGTAGTATGTTATGCCAATTGAGCTTGGTGTCCCCTGAAACTATGGTCCCAAGCCAACAGGTCCAACAGCTTGCTGCCTCTGGGTAACTGGCTGTGGGCAAAAAGTGACTACAAACTTGTCCCTTGTCAGCTCTACTATATATCTGGGAATTCTTACAGAACATACAAATACACTTGTAGAAACAATGTCTTCCAACCTTATACATGGTCATGGGCACACTCCCTCCTGCATAGACATACCTAATAGTTAACAAGGGTTAGGGTTCTTGATAACAATATAAGTGATAGAGCAGAACGAGTTCAGCTATGCCTCTAAAACAGAGATTCTCAAACTAGGCTGCACATTGGAATGACGTGGGGAGTTTTGAAAAAATACTGATGCCTGGGTGCCACCCACAGAGGTTAGTTTAATTGGTCTAGGATGCAATGTGGGCACTGGGAATTTAAAAAACCTTCCCAGTGATTCTACTAAGCAGCCATGGAAGAATATTTCTAGAGGCAGTCCCTGTCATTATGGAAGCATATTTTAATTAGCTGGTGATAGTTGCTCTTAGTTAACATCAAACTATTCAGGAAAAAACTATCAATGTTATCTCTTTAACTTGTGTCATTGTTACTCTATGACTAATGATCCTGGAGCATTTGGGTTTGACCAATGAGGAAAACTATTTTCTACATCATGGTTACACATTCCTATTTGCTTTCAAAATTTAGGATAGTTGAGAGG